ATTCTCTTAATTACGAGAATAAAGTCATAATATTACAAGAATACAATTGAAATATTAGGAGAATTAAGTACAAACCGGATTCCAAAAAAGTTGGGACACTAAACAAATTGTGAATAAAAACTGAATGCAATAGATGGCAGATCAAAAGTTTAATCTGAGTAAATGAAACATTTTAAAGGAAAAATATGTTGACTCAAAATTTCACAGTGTCTAAAAATCCCAAAAAAGTTGGGACAAGTGGAAAAAGGAAACTGAACATATAACAGCTGGAAGACCAATTAACACTAATTAGGTCAATTGACAACATGATTGGGAATAAAAAGAGCTTCTTAGAGGGTCAGTGTCTCTCTGACATTCCTATTTCTAAACTTGAGAAACTGGTCTCTCTGTCCCCAGATGTCAGAGTGTTGTAAGAAGAAGGGCAGATGCCACACAGTGGTAAAAATGGCCTTGTCCAACTTTTTTGGGATTTGTTCACGTCATGAAATTTTGAAACAACATATTTTTGTTCTATTGTGAATAAAATATTAGATGTTTGCACCTCCACATCATTGCATTCAGTTATTATTCACAATTTGTTTAGTGTCCTAACTTTGTTGGAATCTGGTTTGTAGTAATTTTATGAGGAAGAAAATAAATAGTTAATTATCCAAACTTTCTCATTAAAGTCTTGCTAATATTCTGACAGGTTTTGTCATTCAACTCACAGAAGAAATTATTTAAATAAAAGACACTTTTTGAAAATGTTTCCTGTGACTTGTAATTTCATTTTTACGAAAGAAAGCAAGTCGAGAATTTTTTTTAATTAAAATCAGATTTGGTTATAAAAAAACTGGAGACTTTATTTTTATGCCATATCACATTACATTAGCATCAGACAGGCTCACAGTTCCTACCTGTTTTGGATTGTTTTGGTTTTTTCTTATATGCTTCTGAGTAAAAGCAGGTCAATAATTGTGCTCCTACTAGAGCAACAGAAAAACTTATATTTTTTACATGTAATATTTTTTGAGAAAATATCTGTTAAAATTACATCATGACAGAACCAGTTAAAAGCAGGATAAATAACAGAATATCATAATATCACACATGTCTCAGCAGAACCTGTTGCTACCGTTTGTATCTTTCTGCCTCCAGCTGTCGGGTTCTTTCCTCCAATCTGTCTCTCTCTCTCCTCAGTCTGTCGATCTCCCTCTTCATCTCCTCCTCTTTCATCTGCACCTCCTCCACCTGCAGACGCAGGGAGGTGGATGCCTCCTTCTCCCTGCCACAGAAACACAAATTTGATCAAACGGCTCCCTAAACTAAAAAGCGATAATAAATTAAACTGAGTTCATCCTGGGGAACTGATGATCCAGAATCTCAGAAAAGATAATCTCCTTCACTGAGGGAAGTGAAAGAAAGATTACGTGACGACTAATGAGACTGGTCAAAGTTAAATCAAAAACAGAAGCAACCAGCAGGGGGCAGCAGCTCGGTCACCTGCTCAGAGAGTCCAGTGTGTGTTTCAGTTCTTGCTGTGTGTTCCCAGTTTTCATGTCCAGCTGCTGTTTTTCTTCCTCCAGCTGTTTCAGGCGGAGCTTCAGAGACGTTTGCTCCTCGCTGAACCGCCGCAGACTTAGCTCCGCCCCCTAACACACAGACACACACAGACTGAGTCCTTGTCCACACTTAGCTGGGCCTTTATCTTGGTCTACTGGTCGAAGTGTGAATCGTGGAATGTAAATGGTGTGTTTTGGGCTTTGACCCTGTTTCAGTCACCAACCTGCAGCTCCTCGTGTTTCCACTGCAGCGTGCTCTCAGTCTGAGACAGAACCGACAGCAGGGAGGACGGATCCAGACTGAGGACACTGTCCGTGGAGATGCTCGGCGTCTGGTTGCTGATCCTGCTCAGGGACCGGAACTGAAGACAAAACGTCCAGATGAACTGACGGGCCAGGAAGAAACAGAATCTGATTGGAGGAGAGGCTCACCATGCTGATGACAGCCTGACCGACCGAATGCAGCGTCCTGTCTGATTCCCTCAGCCGCTCCACCTCTGCCTCCGATGCTTCCCTCGCTCTGTCTGCCGTCTGCAGGGAGCGACTGAGTTCCTCGATCCTAACACACACAGATGGAGGGAGGTAAAGACCTGAGCCTCTCACACAACCTCCATACCCAACATGTCTTTTACCTTTGCTCCAGCTGGAACACCTCCACTTCACAGTGGAGCTTCAACTCCAGTGGCTTCTCCTCCTCATCCTCCTCCTCCTCTACTAAGGAGAATATCCCCAGGGGGAAAGGGGAGCGGGAACAAAGAGGAGAGCCTGAGACGTCCGGAGGAGGGTGGATGAGAGTGGAGGATAGAGGAGGAGATGAGTATGATGGAGGAGGAAGGTGAGAGGAGGCGGGTTTGATCTGAGGGGCACTGAGCCTCAGTGAGGAGCAGAAGGAGTCACAGCTGCAGAGGAGAGACGAGGAGAGTCTGGAAAACTCCGCCCTGAGCTGCCACAGATCCCTGCAGGAAAACGTCCACAAGAAGAGGCTGAAACACCAAACTGACCTCTGACCTCAGGGTTCACACACTTCTCCCATAGTAAAAGTCAAGCACTTTCCAAGCAGTTTCATGGTTAGTTTTCAAACTTTTCCATGACCACACTTTGGTTTCAATTCACTATTATATGACATAACTTATAGATGTGCAGAAAAAAACTTCATTCTCTAGAGAATTGTAAATCCTCGTCTGTTAATTCTGAATCAATTTAAAATGATCAAAATTTGATTTTAGTCAGCATGAGACTGATGGAATTTGATACAGTATGGAGCTTTATAAAGTTGTTTTAAATAAATGTTTAACTTGTTTACAGTGTCTGCTCTTCCTGTGAGTTACATCATTTAAACAGAATCTCTGGACTGTTTGAATAGAAACATTGATTTCTGAATTAAAAATTGTTTCAGAATCAAATCATGACCCTAAAAATCTGAATGGAATTGCAAAACACTGAAAGATTTGGATCTTTAATTGTTTATTGTTGTAAATAAAAATGTCTTGTGATGATAACATCCTATAGCAGGGACAGGGTAAACTAAATACAACATTTTAAGTCGCACATAAAATTATTTTTGTACTTCTAACTGACCTAAAACAAGAAAGTCTGATATGACTTTTTTTTTAATTTTTTTTAAGAAAATATATGGTTTCAGCTGTAAATTATGTTTACAATTAATCAAAGGGTAAATTGGACTTTATTACAAAACTGAGCAGGTTGCATATCAAGAACCTTCCAAGCCTTGAAAACACTTAATTGAAATTCAAGCATTTTCAAGGGTTTAAAGCAGCCATGTTGCTTTAACTGTAGGAAGTGAAACCATGATGATGTCAGAGGTCACATGACTGAACTGACCTGTCAGCAGCTGTTCTCAGCTTGTGACAGTGTCGCCTCAGATCAAGTACAGATTTCCAGAGTGACAGCAGCCGGGCCTGCTGCTGACTCATGTGACCCCACCGACACTAAACACACAGAAACACACACGTACACACACACACACACACAACCTGTTGGTTCGATTTGTTCTGATTTGAACATCAAAGTTTATATCCAACGATCCTCAAACCTCTTTCTCTCTCTGGCAGTCGGCCTCTTTCTGCTCCACCTCCTGCACGGCTCTCGTCCAATCAGCAGTCAGCTTCCTGAGGTCTTCTGCCAGCTCCCCGTTGGTCTGCTCTGATTGGCTGAGCTGGTGGCGAAGGAGAGCGTTGGTGTCAGCCAGACTGGCAGACCTGAGGGGGGAAGAGATCATGAGCTTTGTGATTGACTCCGACCGCCTGGAACACGCACATACACACACACACACACACGCACACACGCGTGCGTGCGCACACACACACACACACGCACACACACACACACACACACACACACGCACACACACACACACACACACACACACACACACACAAATGCCTACCTCTGCTGTTCCTCCTCCAGACTGATGAGGGCGCTCTCCAGAGACTGGCTGTGCTCATCTCTGATTCTCCGCTGTAAAACAGAATGACATCTGAGCGTCTGCGGTTCTGCTGTATCCAGGAGGTTCTGTGGTACCGCTGAGGTCCTGGACTGACCTCAGAGATCAGAACCCTGGAGTGATTTTCCTGCATATGCTGATCCAGACGGTGACACCGCTCCTTGTACTCGATCACCTACAGAAAAACAGACGAATCTTGAACATTATCTCCATTTTCATTCAGTGTGGGTGGAGTCAAGGTCCACTGTTCAGTCCCTCCAAGATGTTGTGATGTTTTTTTGTGCTTGCTTTGGCCTAAAATTGCAGATTTCACAGCACGTTTTCAAAAAGTTGCACGTTTTTTAAGCTTTATTTTTCCTGAAATTGCAACATGTTGCAAATCTTCCTTTTCCTTCTGTTTTCTAGTCAACTTATTATCCCTCTGTACCTGAGAAGAACCAGCAGCTGGTCGCTGGTCTAATGTCTCCTCCCTGACTCTTTGCTCTTTCTATTGAGACAATAAAAGATTATTTCTAAATATGTGTACCAGTGGGCACAACTTCTGTAAAATTAAAGATGATTTGGTTTATTCTTAGCATTACCCAACTAGCTAGCACCATAACCTAAGTTAGAACATTAGTATTCTTGTTCACAAGCCAAGTATAATATATTGGCATGGATTAACCACCCTCACTCATTTTACATGGTTTGTTTGAAGGAAAACTCTGTATAAATATAGACATACAGAACATCTCAAAATGGCTTTGTAGAAACTAAAAATAAAAATAAAAAAAGGTAAATGTTGCAGGTAGCGTCACAAGTTTTCATCTTGCAGGTTCGGCTTTCAAGAGTGATTGTGGAACATGGAGTTAAATTGAAAAGAGGCTACAGGGATTGGTCAGAATACACATACACCCACAGGTGATTGGTCAGATTTGCTGTAAATTTGCGATGATTGGTGAAAATTGCAAGTCAGCGCAAAATTTGCGAATGATGACTGAATTTGCATTAATAGTTGCGATCGCAACATCATGTCTTCCTGGAGGGACTGAATGTTTGACTTGAGATGCAGAATGAGCTGTTTCTGCTCCACAGCGCCCCCTATGGCCTCACCTTGTTCTGCAGACGGTGGATCAGCAGCGCCTGTCTGGCCTCCCTCTCCCTCCCCTCCTTCAACTTCTTTTTCCACCTCCTCTGTTCCTCATCAAGCAGGGACATTGAAGGATTCAGAGTCTGACAAAGCTGGGGAGAGAAACATTTTGAGAACGATTATCTCCTGCTGATCACCTGAGCCCCACCGGGTGATCAGCCCCCTCACCCTATCCGTCAGAGCTTTGCTCCTGGACTCCAGCTCCTCCTTCTCAGCTCGGCTCTCCGCCAGATCCTCCTGCAGTCGACACACCTCCACCTCCAGCTCCGCCTTCTGCTGCTGCCAGCCATTCAGCAGCTTTGACTCCATGCTTGGAAAGAGAATAGGGTTCATCGTCTGTGTTCAGCTGTAACTTTGTTTCCATGGGTTTAAATGGGTTAGCCCCCCCACCCCTTATCTTCGGGACCTTTTAAATTTCCGGTCTGTGTCCAGGACTTTACGATCAAATAATCAGTTATTACTGACAGTTCGACTTAAGAGGAAAGGAGATTGAGCTTTTTCTGTTGCTGCTCCTGTTTTATGGAATAACTTACCTTTCCAGATCAGATCTGCCCACAGCCTGGATCATTTTAAATCGCTTCTTAAAACTCATTTTTACTCTTTGGCATTTAATTGATGTATTGTTTTATATTGTTTTGTCATTTGTGTTGTCGTTCTTGTACAGCACTTTGGTGCAGTTTTATACCTGTTTTAAAGTGCTATATAAATAAATTTGACATTGACATTATAACTTCAGTATTAACTTTAACAGAGCCACACAACATATTAAAGTCTATCAGTCTGACTACAGAGGACTGAAACAATTAACTGGATTAATTGCAGTGAATTGATTATTCAAATAATGGTAAACTAATTTAGTTAACTGTAGAATACAAACTCAGAAATAGATCATTTACTGAACAAACTGCACACTCAAAGCAGTAATTAAACCAAAACTGTACTATATATATATATATATAACAACAACAACCAATTATCACATATATAAGTATAAGCTATAGTTTTAGTTTCACCTGGTTCAAAATATGTAAAAAAAAAAATCTCCTAATAAGCACTTTTTCTATCCAATTAACTGATTAATCCAAAAACTAATCCTCAGATCAGCTCTACACTGCACTGATGCAGAAAGGCTGAGCTCTACACATGTTGATGTTACAAGTTTCTATTTGATACAAATTATCAAGCATAAACTAAAGGAATGCTTTGTTGTTTAATTTTAGGCAATAAATTTTTTACTTTTTACTTAAAAAAGGAATTGAATTATCTGTTTCTTTGCATCTTCTGATGTATTTCTAATATTGTATAAAAATGCTTAAATTCAACTCTGCAGAACATGCTAATTTTGTTAATCATCAGAATTGATACATCAACCAAAAACTAAAACAATCATCAGTTGCAGATCTACAGGGGACTAAAATAGTAAAGGAATGTTTAACTTATGAGCTAAAATCATTTCGTCTTTACACCGACTGCTCCGTTAAAGCATCATCGAGTCATCTCAGCTTCTAATACCTCAACCCTCTACTAATGCAGTAATTTATGCAAAACGAGCCCTGACCAAGTATTGAGTATATATGCTGTAAAGTTCATGGACAATCCCTTTTAACTGGTTGTGCAATAGTCTAATTTTCTGAGTGCATTTCAGGCTTTCCATCAGTTGTAAACTAAAAACATAAAAACTCACAGATATGCAACACTTTACATGAATGAATCTATATAAAATACAAATTTGTTATTTGCTGTCCTGCTAGTGTTGACTCGGTTCTGTTCGGCTCTATTCGGCTGTAATCGCTTTGAGTTTTTAATCTGTAAACTGCTGACGCTCCAACAGTTATGTCCGAATCAGAACCGGATTAACAATGGTCTTAACTGCTTAACCACCCAAACATCAGTGCCCGAACAGAACCAAACCCCAACAGACAAGCGGGACTGTAGAAGCCAAACCCGAACCAAACAGATCCGTTAGCCGCCTAGCATGCAAACACCGGAACCACCGACTGACCAAAGTTTCTACCTGAACTAACCCCGTGAAGTTCTGGTACAATCCGTCACCGGGACAATGGCTTGCGGTTAATTTAGTTTTTTCGGTTTAACGGGAAGAAATTCTCACTTTCAAACCGGGAGCCTTACCTTTTTACCCGGACACCGAAGCTAAACAACCGCCAGTAGTTTCCATAGCGACGCCTCCTGACCGGAGGAGTAACGGTAACAACCTAACGGTTTACCGCTGGAAACATGGAAACTGTGATTATTAAGCAGGAAAATTATCAAATTTGGTTGAAAGTTTTTACAAGTTAAATAATAGTAAATATCCATTGTGGTTTAAATGTAACTTATTGAAGAAATAGAGTCATAAATACAATTTAAAGAGGCACAAATCTCGATCAAAAATATACTTATTACTGCCTCAATCAAAAAGTCGAGCTCATAAATGATTTGATTTGTGACAAATTATTCAAACAAAAACTTTAACTTTAAAACCTTTATTTCATTAAATTGTTTCCAAAATGCATCTTCAGTTGACACCAAACATTATATTAACATTGGTTTTAAAAGGATTTGATAAATTATAGATTTTCAAAAATAAAATAAAAACAGTTCAATTAAAAAGTTGATTTATGTTATCAAAATATATTCACTTTAAATATAGCACAGAAAATGTATCACAGAAAAAGTTACTTGAAAATAAACTCAGAATTTATTTCTTTACAGTAGCTCTTTTATAACCTGAGGAGAAAATTGGGTTTACGATATGACAAAATAACAACAAATAGTAGTGAGTTTACTGTCCGGCAGCAAAAACACAAATCAATAAATAAATGCAATAAAAAACAACAGGACAGACTGGAACAGAGCCAAAGAAAGGGTCTATTATAGAACAGAAATTCATTAAAGCATTATTAATTCTAATATTTAACATCATTTACATAAACAATTTTCATTAAGTCATTAATTTTAGACCTCAGAGAACATTTCAGTGTAGATTTGTATATGATTGAGCAGAGAAACCTGTAGAGGGGAGCAGAGGGCAGTAATGCTGATGAATGACCACACCCAAAGAAATTTCACTTCATAAAAAAGCAGAACATCACAAGTATCATTTTTACAAAACACTTCAAATGCTTCAAGAATGAGGAGACAATTTCTGAAATTATTGACCTATTGGTGACACTTAGGAGGTTAAATATTATCTCTGCTGCTCAGAAATTTAACTACTAGAATGTCAAGAAAGTCAAGAAAATGTCAGAAAGCAACAGTCTTCAGTCAGAGGTGTCTTCAGATTAGTTGCAAGATTGACTGCTAGCAGAGATCCTTCTTTTCCATAGCATCACCATCCACAGCGACTCTTTGAAGGTACTTGGATGATGTGAGTTATGACATTTAATTTCCCTTCAGGATAAATAATGTAATTTTAATTACATTGAATATAGACTTGGCCTAGTTCAAGTTTCATTCATTCAAATGAAGAAAATGGCTGGAAAGAGACCACAACCTGTTCCCGACTAATTATCAATCCCTCGATGTGGTAGGAGTCCACTAATTGGGATGTAAAAGGGAAATGTTTTTCAAACTGTGCATACTTACCATTTCATTCATCCTGATTTATTTATGTACATAATGTTTTAAGTTTTTACTGTACACCCAGTTTCAGTTGGAAATTCACAAAAGTGTTTATATGTGGGGCTCCAGAACTTTGATTCAAAAACAGAAACAGATAAGGAGCTTTTAGCCTCCTAATGTGATGCTTTTTCAGAATTGATTTTTTTTTAGATCTATTAGTTTATAATTGATTTTTATGTCAAATAAAACTGTTAACCTAACTGGAGGTTATATTAGAAGCATAAAAAATGTTCTGTGTGAAAAACATTAAGAATAAATCTGCAATCTGGATCAGTTCCGTCTGCAGAGCTTATCATAATTTAGTTAGTTTAAAAAGTGCTTCTTATAAATAAAGTATTTTTTCTTCAGAGTTTGAGGATGAAGCTGACAGAGAGGAGACTCCTCCTGAAGCCCCGCCCTCAGAGACGTGAGGACATCAGTCTGATCCAATCAGAACCTCTCAGTACGTTCTCAGTCTGAACACCTTGCTGAGCCTGGAGGTGGCGCTGGAGTAGATGAGGAAGGAGCCCTGCTCAGTGGTGAAGTGTTCCCAGTCTCTGCAGCCAAACGTGAGCAGACTGTGGACCGGGACGAAGCCCTCGTAGCCCTGCCACCTGGAAAACAAACAAACACACACACACACACACTGCTGGTCAGATGAAGTCAGATACAACACCTGCACAGGTGTGGATGAAGTTCGCTCACCTGTAGATGACGCTGTTTACAGAGTAAGAACTGCCATCGTAAGAGTTCGCCACAACCAGGAACTTCTCGTCTCCGATGGTGAAGAACTCCCAGTCAAGAGCGCTAAACACAAAAAGAACCAAAACACACATAATCAGTCAGACTTTAAAGGGTTAATCATCTTCTTTCATTTTAGACGTTTATAGAAGAATAATAGTTCCACCATTGGCAGATTATTATAACATAACATGTTTTCCCATGTTATAAGTGAAAAACTCTGCCAGTGGAACTAGTACTTTTTAAAATAATATTAAGGAATTATTTACTTAAAACATGTCCTGATATTTCACTGAAAAGTTACTTGTAAACTAGTTTTGTCTTATTTTAAGTGTATTAAGACAACTGGACTAGAAACAAGACAGAAATACTTGGTAAGATTTTGTGCTTTTTCAGTGTAATGAGCAGGTAAAAAAACAGCCAAAGAACTAATGGTGAAGAAATAAAGAACACTAACAAACAAGAAGAGAACAGGTAAAAAATGGTGATAAAGAGTGATGTGGAAAGCTTGAATTTGTAATAAACAGACAAAGAGCAGGTAATGACAACAGGAAGTAGATTGGCTGACCTGTGAGTCGGGATGTCCTGGAAGCGGAGGAAGGTCTGGGTGAACATGTTGAGCTCGTACACGGTGGAGTTGATGTTGTAGAGACTCTGGGATTTCCTGGAGAACTGCTGACTGTTGGCGACGGCGAGGAAGAACCGGCCGTCGATCTGGAACATCTCCCAATCCGTCGCTCCAACCGTCTGCCAACGGATGAAGGAAACATTTTATAGGGAAGTTTTCTGACTTCAGGAGAAACTTTACTGATTAATATTAGGGCTGGGTTATTAATCGATAAAATTGATTGACTTAATTTTTGGTTTTTGAAGATTTAATTTTTGGAATATCTGGATTTTTCATTTTTGCCAATGCATCAGTCATGTCATCTTGTTTGATACGCATGTTTTTCTGATTCTATTTATTTGGACTTTGAGTCAGGGTCAGGCTACGAAATGTTTTAATTTTATGAGAACTCCAACAAAAATAAAACTCTGTTGTGACGACTTCAGCTCCAGTCGTTCTTTTTTCTAAACAGTCACAGTTCTTGTGTAATCAACTCGAACTCATTCTCATAATTAAATAAAAATTCCCATAGCCTGGTCATAATACTCTGTTGAACAACTCACAGAAGGAATGATTTAAATAACAAAACGTTTTTTTGTAATTTTAATCATTGAAAATATTTTTGTTCATTTATAATTTTTAGCAGACCCCTCTTTAAATGAAGGAATTGGCTTTACTGATGAACGTTTATTGGGAGTTTCACCTTAAGAGCTGTGTGTACAAACAAAAGACAGTGTAAGCTACAAACAATGCTCTTACAACCGTAATGTTTCAACTAAAAATAACGTTCACTACTAAAATATCAACTTTGACTCAAAAAACTAAACCAGTATTCTTATACAATACAGCAAATTTACAATTCCGATAGATCGATAAAGAAAATATCCTTATATACAAATAAACATACCTTGTGCCTCTATAAAAAGGAGACCGCTAATTATAAGATACGTTTTGCTAACTCTGTTGTTTTCTGTTCTGTTGTTAAGCCGCAGTTCTACCATATAAACAAAGGAAACTGTCTTATCAAAATAAAAGCATTCTGTTAAAACCGGAAGTCCATCAATTATTATAAAAAATAAAATTACTTAAATGCAATAAGTGCAAAAAGAGGAATACAACAAATAAAACAAATAACCCCACATAATTTGGGGTTCGTTACAGACTGGAACTGAAGTCATCACAACAGATTCTTATTTTTAATTTAAAACTACTCTTTTCTCGTAATTTTAAGTCGTTTTTTTTCCTGGTAAAATTGCGTCTTTATTTGCTAATATTACGACTACATTTTCATAATTAAATAAAAATTCCCACAGCCTAGCCATAATACTCTGTTGTACAACTCACAGAAGGAATGATTTAAATAACAAAACATTTTTTGTTATTTTAATCATTGAAAATATTTTTGTTAATTTGTAATTTTTTTAGAATGAAAGAGAGAAAAGAAAATTAATAAAAATCTGAAAATTGGGACTTGTATGGGGAAAAAGTCATGCTCCAAGACAAATGCTCCAAAAAAGTTGTGTTATAAATTATATGGATAAGACCCATCCAGATTTATTAAAATCACATATGAGAAGCTTTATAAGCTTTAAACATTTGAGTCTTTGCACATATGTCATTCAATTTTGTTTACAAAATGATGCAGAATCTGTTTCTCAGATTAGCTTGGATATTTTATTTAGAAAAATCTAATTTTTAATTTTTTTTAATGCTGTGATCCTTGGATTTCTTGTGTAAATCAATGAAATGAAAACTAATCTATACATGTTTGTTCAGAAAAATGAGTAGCAGAGTGAGATGTGATGTGTTTTTGGTGATAATGTGTCACCTGTGTGCTTCTGGAAGAGGTTAAATTACACAGCAGGAGGATTTAATGTGATTTTGTGGTTTTAAAACTGCAGTAAAAGTCTCTCTTCAGTCTTCAGCTGGAAAATCCCCTCTTCCTCTCTCATTAATTACTCACTGCTGGTTTCCTGAACTTTCCTTTTCATCATCACCAGCAGGCAGAGATTAAAATGTATTTCTAAAAATCTGCTGCTGATTTTATGTTTCTATTTCATGTTCTGACTTCTGTCATCGCATTAAAACGTTTTCCTGCAGTTTGAGGAGGTTTATTACAGACGCAGAGAAGGAAAAACAGGCAGCTGCTGCTGGAGTGGAGACCCATCAGACCAGCAGGTGGTTCTTCAAGGTGCTCCAGTACAAAAAGGGTTCTTAATTCAACCTGATTTTTTATTTTTGTCTGTTTACATTAGTTCAGATTTGGACTTCAACCCATCCATTGTAACTGAATTCATGTATTAACTGGATCAGAATCAGATTTCTGGAGGGTTGAAGAACAGACTGTGCCTGACAGTCTAAACTCAGGGATTAGGCTAAACTCTCACTTGCTCCAATCAGATGCAGCCTGTATGTGATGTCACTCAGTATTGTTGTGTTTTTGTGTCATCACATCATCTCTGTCACCAGAATCGCATTAAATTCAACAGTATATGTCTGAACTTCACCACTAGAGGGTGCTAAAGGTAAAAAGTTGTGGTGGATTTCATCCCACATCATATGCTGACTGCAGCCCTGATCCAAAGTCGCGTCTCAACACTGACCGTGATGTTCTGGAAGCTCCGGAAACACCCGTCCAACCAGACGTAGATGGTGGAGCTGATGGTGGTGTTCTGACCGTTGAAGGTGTTCGCCACCACCAGGAAATGATACGGGCCGATGGTGAAGAACTCCCAGTCATAGGCTCCGGACGTGGACAGAGTCTGGTTCACCTCAAACAGCTGGAGGACAGCAGGACAAAAGGACAAAGATCCCAAACATGAATACAGAGTACCGGACATCTTCTCATGTTGACATCAGGCCAGTGAATCTCACCTTTGTGTCAGGGTTCCACCTGTAGATCACACTGTGGATGTTATGGTTGGAGTCTTTGGCTGAGGACACAGTCAGGCACAGATCCTCATATTAACAGCTGAAGTCAAACATTCCGCCTTCTGGTGGTTAATAATGGTAAAAGTCTTTACTGTTATGATCTACTGCTGTACAAGTTGATATAAAAAGTTGTTAAAAATAAATATTAACTTTCCATCTCATAGCATAGAAAGCAGAGATGTTCTCAAATCATTGTTTCCAAGTACAAATCAGGTTCCAAGTCTTTAAGGGGAAAGTGTAAGTGAAGTCTTACTACTTTAAAAGGGAAATCCAAGTCACGTCTCAAATCTTAAGGAAAAAGTTTGTCAAGTCTGAAAGTCGTATCTTTGCAATCCGAGTGCAGCTCGAGTTGCCATCTCTGATAGGGTATGCTCCAAGGCTGAGTGCTTGGTCCCCTTATCTTTGTAGGGTCATGGTCTGGTCTGGTTATCTGTTCACATGGTTTCATCATATCTCACATATGCAGATGATATTAAGCTGTACTGATGATTAAAATCTGTATTTTATCTTGCCTCTTTAACATCCACACACATGAGGGGATCAGATAAAAAAAAACTAAGATTTTTCTATTGATTGTCACAGTTTATCAGTCCATCATCAAAACTCAACATAAAACCTTCACTGCCAAGGGGAACTCATAGCAGGAGTTTTGTCTTCCCTGTGCTTCTCATGAATCTTCTGGCTAGTTTATGGTTCCGTGTTAACAAAATTATCGTACAATGATAGTTGGTAGCCTAACTGGTAGTACTGGGACTCTTTCTGGAGTCCTAATTGAACTGCAGCTTTCTCAGACTGTGTGCGGATGAGTCTCAGACGGCGTTCTACAGTTTATGATCTGATCCCAGTTCACCTGCATTCTTTCCTCTCAGATCACAAACAATCTCTTTGGGCCAGTGAGTTTGTTTTTATCTCTACAGGAAACATTTGAGCGTGCAGATGGAGGTGTGTTTGAAGTGGCTGCAGGTCCACAGGCCAGGAGATAGCAGCGCTCTCTGAACTCTAAAGTGTTTTATCAGCTGAAAAACCACGACTTTCCTCACATCAAATAGTTGTGTTTTGAAGCTCTTAACGAACGAACTCGCCGCAGAACGATCAGCATCTCTGATCCTGTTACAGTTCACCAGCAGAGACACAGGAACCTGACCACACTGCAGCTTGTTATTTAACACGTCTGATTACAGACGGCTCAGGGATAAAACATGTTTCAGAAAACACTCTGATGAAGAAATAAAATGTGCTTCATGTCAGTACAGTCATAACAGCAATAAAGATGCAGAAATTCTTCTATTAACTGACTGATTCCTTTACAACAGAGTGACAAATGTCCCTGAAATCAGAGTCTTCTTGTGTTAGAAGTAGGTAGTTACCTCCAAAGTGAAGACTAAAGCCATTATTGCTTCAAAACTTCATCAAACTGCCTCACATCAGGGAATGTTTGGGATGTTTTGCTCCAGCTCACCTCGCATGTGATTGGCCACCACCAGGAAGCTGTTGTTGTGGATGTGAAAGGCCTCCCAGTCCCGAGCAGAGTGGGTCTCCAGAGTCTGAAAGCGAATGAAACGTTTCTGCCGACGATTCCACCGATAGATGGTCGACAGCTCAGGTTCTGCCTTCTGCATGTCCGCCACCACCAGGAAAACCTGAAGGGTGGAGGAAGCAAAACATGATCTGTTGCACAACTATTATTTGTCTGCATTAAAGATTATTTAATACAATGTCTGATGATCCAGAGTCTTCTCTAACCAGTTGCTTCCAACGCTTTGGTGAGTTATATTGTTCACTTTTGGAGAATTCATCTCTCTCAAATAAAACAGTAAGGATGATGGTTTCAACTCCAAGTTTGGTCTTTTGTCATGAAGCACAAACCGGTTTAAGTTTGAGCTCTGAATATATTTGGAGAACTACCACTTCTTCCTTAATGTCAGGCATCACATGCTTAGGGCTCAACATCCGGGCAGTAAAGACAATACTCTACAGTAACGCATCCTGGATGATGGCAAGCACTGCTAGTCCACCTCATTTGCTTTTGCCAATCCACTTTAAATCTCCGTCTGGCCATGTGGTTAGAAAGCCACACAGAGAGATGTTGGAGTAGGGGATACAATCCTTATTTGCTATGATCAATGGAAGAACTTCCTCCTTCTCTCTGCTCTTTGGTCTTCCTTTGTATTAACTCCTCTGGGATTTGAGATTGTAGTTCATGTATTATTTGAACTTTCTGGATGCTGACAAGCTGTTCTTGGTTATAAAAACAATACCTCATATCAGGACTACAGCCACAAGCAGGAGCCCTTAAACGACTGTTCAAAAGTAGAAATTTAAGGGCAAAAAGCCATCAAGAGCTGCAGCATTCAAAGCCAGAGACGTTCTCTACCAGAAATGGGAGCATCATCCAGATTTATCGTGTGACATTGTGTCAACCATGGTAACACCAGAAATGTTCAGAGGCCTCAGCTTCAAAGGTCAACTCCAATCTGATGATTTCTGTGGTTGAGAAAGCAAAAACTTATGCTTTAGGGGACTTTGTAGAGGACATGGAGAAGGACTTTCAGTGGGCCTATAGAAAGTCCCAGGCTGTGCTTGTTTGTGTACATTTGACAATGGATGATGAAAAAATGCCTGTAGGCGTTTTATAGTTTGGTCACCAAGTTCACAGCTAAGAAAACAGTCTAGGAACTTGACTAAATCTTGGGAAAAGATTAAACATTTGGTGGGAGGTAATTAAAACCCCCAGGTGAACAAGATTCACCCTGAGACATGAAAAATGTAGGTAAAAACCCTGCAAAGGAGTAAACAGAAAAACAAAACCATCAGAGCGACTCAGGGATTATAAAACACAAAAAATCAGATTCACGCAAAGAGACGTGGATCCATCCAATGGATTTGAATTGACTAAAGAACCGGATGGAACCAGAACTCCAGGACAAACATGGATCTGTGGTTCTTTGAATTAAAGATCCTTCCTCTCTCCAATCTTTACTTTCAGTCCAGGTCTGCTGGTGCACAGCTGCTGTGAATACCTGCAGAGCTTTGTGTTAACACCTGTGCTCCTCTAAGAGCAAACACGCCAACACAATGAGAACACAGGAGGCCTTAACACACCTTCACAGGTCACATGATCACAGGTCACATGATCACAGGTCACCCAAAAGAAACATCAAACTCTTTTTGGGTCCAGGTGAGGCAGCAGAACCTTTTTAATCTTGACTTCTGGAGACTATTTTCCACATTAGGTTTATATTCATGACCTTAGATCAGGTTTCTACCGCAGCTCTCTTCTTGAACTTGGCGTTACCGCGGACAATTGTTGTGTTTAAGTGACTCCCACCTTGTCATCGATGGTGAAATATTTCCAGGCTTGAGCTTCCTGAGTGCTGACGTTCTGGTACAGCTGGAATGACCCATTAATCCATTTGTAAATACCAGAACCGGGTCGGGAGTCCCTGTAAGAACAGACAAGACTGTTATCATGAAGATTGAAGACCTTCATTTCCTTGAGAGCTGATGTGGAAGGATTCTGGTTCTGGTACCTGTTGGCTGCAGCCATGAACAGGCCTTCAGACGGGATGGAGAAGAGCTCCACATCCAAGGTTTCTGAGCGGGTGTAGAAGTCCTGGTAGTCCTCCACATAGTCCAGACGCTCTTTATCTGCAAAGAAGACCGATTTACTTGTTTTAGATGTTGTTAGTAGATTAGAGAACCTCAAAAAACTAATCATTAAGCAAAAATAATTGATGACATGTAAAATAACTAGGGTCGGGACTTAATTGTGCTAATTTAAAATAAAAATAAAAAAGATAAATAGGTTTTTGCTGGAACCTTTGTATTCACGCGTTTCTGGTACGCCCATAAATCTGTCGCACAGCTGACATACTCCAACAGCAGCAATGGATGAGAAACTGGAATTATTTCCATAATTCCAATTTGAGCAATTTTAAGGTAAATGGAAACAAAGGTAATGTGAGGTTCTGTGAAGTCTCGTCCAGTCAGACTCACCCTGCATGAGGGTCCTCCACATCATCCCGTCACAGATGAACAGACCTTTCTTCCGAACGTTGAACCACAGCTGACCTTTCTCTGGGCCTGAACATGGAGGACGATCGCCTGCAGTCACTCTGGCCTCGGCCTCTGAAAGAGAAACAAAACAAGAGGTCAAATCTGGTGCACAACTAAACCCAAGGAACATAAATCTTTAATAATTTTCCATTGAAGCTATGACGCCATACAGTTTTCCCATTTTTCAAGGTACCTATATTTTCTCTGAACATCTAAAAACTGTTCTTTCGTTGAGAATTTGAAGCATTTCAGGAGTTATTGTGTCCCATTCTTCTTCTTCACACCTTAATGTGTCCAACATTTCAGATAAGTTATTGTCTCATCTTTCATTTTCTATATTCTCCAGCATCCTCTGTTGGGGACAGATTAGGACAATAGCCGGGTCAGATCTTTGGAAAGTGCTTGAAATGTAATTTTTCTTATACTGGTAAGCAGCCATTTCTGTTTCAGACTATGACAGATCATTGGAAGTACATCCCTCTAAGTTCAGAGAAATGGACACTGGGCAAGGTTTACATCAGGCTTATTTTCTGCATAGTAAGGTTTCTACTGTGTCCTCTCAAAATTTCCTTTATGTTGCTTGAATGTTTTGATGATATTGTGCTATGCATAATAAGAAAAATGCAAACCATTTTCAGTTTTTCTTTGAGTAACTTGATCCTCTGAACACCTCTGTGACACAAGAAATTGTGAGTCACAGCAACATTTTTAGACTGTATTTTTTGCCCTAATTTTTCCCAATCCCAATGTTTTCCAAAACATTTCCAGACCTGAAATGCAGGACTGTATTGTCGTGCTGCCTCTAATAAAATAAACCCTCATTGCGCTGCGTTCCCACTCTCTGTGGGTTGAGGTTTTTCTAGGATTGGGTGTGTTTTCGGTTGTAAAGCTGAGGGTGGATTAAACTCTTTCACGGATCATAAAAACGTGATCTCTGGTGGCGTTCCCTTTAGAAATCTGAGGTCAAGTTCAGGCGACAGCGGCTTGCACGGCTCGCTCAGCTGCAGGCAGGTACATAAATTAAGATGCACCTCGGGCGGCTTTATATAAACCATGAGTCATGATAAGTCTGACAGGATCGGTGCTGAACTTCAATCAGCAGAACTTTATTAACTTTGTCATCATGAGCCTGGAAGAAAAACCCGTGAAGAAGTCTGAAATATGTCTGTGATCGTTATTGACTAATCAATCAAGGAGATTCATCAACTGAGCTGAGATCAGACAGATTTAAAAAAAAAAAAGAAAAGAAAAGGTGAGACTGCTCCTCAGCAGACGTCCTGACCGCGGCACCTGTACTTGTCCTCACCCGCCTGTCGCCATGGAAATACATCAAACAGAGGGACAAACCTTCAACTCGTACTCGGCTTTACTAAACCAAAATATCTGCCCTAAAATGTCCCTGAACCAGAGCTACATCCAGGAATCCTTAGCAGACACCCAGCTTCAGCAGAACTACAAATCCCAGCAGGGTCGGTGTTTTCCACAGAAGCAGAAGAGACACAGAAGCTAACAGAGCCTGAAACTGATAAACAAACCGTTCTTCATGGTGTCAGTCAGTCTGGAGCTCAGGTTACTGAATCGGTGCTGCCATCACAGCTCCAGGTTTACACTGCAAACACGCCACAGTGAAAGTATGGAAACACTGGGGAGAAATATTTAGCTTTTCAGTCTGAACAGGTGAGACAGGTGAGTTTGGTTCCTCCTGAATCTACACTAAACATCTGCAGGCATCAGTGTTTCCAACACTGAATCAAAATAAACATTTGATGGAAGAGTTTTAAAGGTGCTGTCACAGTTTTATGTCTTGCTGTTTATGCTAGCGTATTGCAACTTGTGTGTTTGGTGAATATACATGTAAAGAAATTAAGGATTTTTTGAGGAACGTCAAGTCCTGTGATTATTTGAATTAGATGATTGTGTGTGCTCTAGGAGTTTGAAAAGTCATCTTTCATCATGACCACAGCCTCACTTAACCGCCTCCGCCCATCTACACTCTTGGCCACGCCCCTTGTTGTCTCTTTGCTCCGCCCACTTTTATGGAGTTTTTCAAAATTTATGCTTTCACCGGGGGGTTAGCTACACTTAAAATCAGTGCTCTGAAATGAACTGAAAATAACTAGCATAATTAATCAGAAACAAGCTGTCAGTTTCAAGCATTCAGCATGCTAAGATGAGAGAACCTTCATCAGCACAGACAGAGCATTAGATGAAGGAATGTTGGATCATGGCCACCATATTTGATGCTATAATTTAGGGTCAAAACTTTAAACTGTATCAAGGTTTCTTCTGTTGTGAGATGAGCTATTCTGATTTGATGAAGAACTGCATGAGCTGCTGGTTTTTCTTCTTACCGTATGGATAAACTGAGCCCTGCTGGTCGGGTTGGAGCGGGGAGGACTTGAGGACCTGTGGGACAGAGAGCTCTGCCAGTCTGGGTTCAGAGTTGGGACAAAGTCTGGGCATCGCGTCTGAGCCTGGAAGAAGAACCAGCTGACGAAGTAGACCCTAAACACAAAAGAACCGGTGTGATTCTACATGAAAAACTATCTGGTTCTGATTCTGATCATAGACTCACAGAGAAGCGGCCCCTCCAGTGGCCCCTGCTGCCGATGATGAACCTGGACCCTCTGGTGCTCAGAGTGCTGGGGAAGGTCCGGACCTGTTTACTGAGAGACAGGGAACCAGTTAAGAAGGCTGACAGAGCTGTGGTCCAGTATACTAATGGCAAGTTCTCTAAAATGGGTTGATTTTTTAAAGAAATCTTTGTGTTCAACAAGTCTATGGGTTGAACAATGAACCAACCTAAACCAGTTTAAGCAGGTTTGAACTGGTCTAAGGGTTGGATAAAAAACTGACCTAAACCCATTTAAACAGGTTTGAACTGGTTTTTACCGGTTTGAATCACCCTGAACTAGTTAAAACCAGCTAGAAACTCACATTTCCACAGGCAGCCCACAGTCAACGGTCAATGTTGCGTAAGGACCGGTCACAGCCAGAACCACGGTGTGCCATCTGTCGTCGTCCAATCGGACATTTTTAAAACTGATCCTTTTCCGACCCCCACCACCAGGGGGAGAGGTCAGAAGGTGAAGACAGTTCTCAGAGACACGTAGCCCCAGCAGCAGTGACTCGGATCCCTCCTTCACCACAGAGAAGATGTACTGATTCGTCTAAAAATGGAGAGAAAGAGAGCAGGTTAGACGGTTCTGAGCTGGACTGGAGAGGACCGGATCAGATCAGATTCTGTTATGCTTACCTTCTTCCTCAGTCTTTTTATCTTCATGGTGGCCACCAACGAGAACTCAGAAGGAAAATAGTCACAGTTGGTGAATATCTGTGAGGCGGTAAAACTCAGAGCTGTCGGTGTGGTGCCGGTTAGCCTGATACCTCTGGACCCTCTGGACTGAACCATCTGCACCTGTTGGCACAGAACATTGGTCATATAAACGTGTTAAAGCTCCTTCATCAGTTTCTTCAGGTTTCCTACCTGAGTGGGCGTGGCTTGTGCTGGGCGTGGCAGGGCTTTGGACAGGAGGTCAATCGGACGCAGGTCTGAGGGGAAAACATGGCGTCAGTCGGTTCTGGAGCTGAGATTCACTTAGAAAAGCAGAAAATCTTTCAGAGGATTTCTGCTGACTAAAGCAAAACATTCCCTCTAGGATGCTGTTTGTAAAGTCATATTTTCACAATGTTATTCATTCATCTAAAAATGTCAAAGTTTCAAACTAAATATTTAATTAGAACACTAAATATATATCTTGATAACTAAATATTTATTTGGAAGGTAAATATTTACCTTGCCTTTGGTTAGCAAATAAAATATTTAGCTTCAGGCTAAATAGGTAGCTTCCTAAATATTTAGTAAGCTAAATATGTAGTTAAAATCTTTACTTAAGTGTGCAGCTAAATATTTAACTTGCTAGCTAAATACATTGTTTGAATCTAAATATTTAGTTTGCTACATAAGCATTTAGATTAATATTAATATTCAGTTTTAGTTTGAAGCTAAATACTTAGAAGGCTAACTATACATTAACATTCAAGTTAAATATTTTTCTTGTTTGTAATTAGCACACTAAAATATGTAGCTTCCAACTAAATATTTAGCTTGCCAATTATTCTTATTACAGGCTAAATAACTCAAATTATTGCTGTCAATCTTTGATTGTGTAACTTTTCAAATGGTGAATCATAATTTCCGTGGCCACAGCCAGATGAATCCAAGTTAGAGCAATCAACTAATAGACTTTAGAAACGTAAAAGGTTTTTCCTAGAAAGGATCCTTCAAGGCTTTATATACTATTGGTAAACCTTTAGGTGTTATACTTTCAGATTAGTTTGTCATTCCTGCATAATCTTTGGTCAACAGGTATTTCACATTCCGGTGAAACTGGAATATCTATTCCTGCTTTTCGGACTCCAACACATTTCAAACACAAACGTTTCTGTGAAGTTTTCCCACTGAACCTTCTCACTCCAAAGTACCAAACCCCGAGAGGCAGCAGCTTCCTGGTTTTCAGGTTGTTGTTGATTAGAATCGTTGGTGTTTTGGAAACTGTTAGAGCCAAAAATAAATCCTGATTAGATGTGGACAGATTATCTGCTGCTGGTCATTTCAGATCCCTGAAAGCTGATTTTCATAGAGGTGAAGTGAAACCAGCAGCTGGAGGAAACTAGAACCTGATCCAGATCAGTTTCCTCCAACAGAGGCTGATAAATGATAAACGAGTCGGACTTCTCTCAGAACGATCCGTATCATTGACTGTAAATCATCAGATTTCTTTTTTTATCAGCTCAGAGGCAGATGGGTTCCTCTGTTTGATGCTGCAGGATCTAAAAACAGAAACAGTTTCAGCTTCCTGTCCCCACAGATAAACATCACAGTGATAAATCACTGCAATGTTTGCTGCTACAGCAGTTCCATGTGCTGAGAGAAAATCAGGACAAACAGAGAAAAGGTAACAATTTATGTACAATAAAGAGAGAATAGAGAAATGCACAGAAAAATGGTAAAAGGCATTTCTGATCCAGAACATCCAATCTATGTCAGATTGCTCCAGTAACAGCTAAAAATGTCCTCAAAATGCAAATTCAGGCCAACCTGAACAGTTTATACAAGTCATGATGGATCCATGTTTTCATGTTATTAAAGCCAAAACCTGACTCTACCATCTGAATGGTTCAGATTAAATCAAGATTCATTGAGCAGGCAGCATTTTTCCAATCTGTCTCCATCTAATTTTGGCCATCTTGTTTGAATTGTGGCTTCAGTTTCCTGTTTTAGAGGTTTGATGACGAAGGACAAAATTTCTCCAGAATTGGACAATCAGTGATTGTATTCTGAATATCTTGGTTGGAACAAGTAGGACTTTGAACATTTGATGAACAGAGTCACTGCCATGCGAGTGACTGAGTCATTAAGTAGCAGAGCAGGTGTACCTGATAAAGTGAATGGGGAGGCATGACATCCTGCCCCAGAATGTAACATTCCAGGCATTTTAGAAGAATTTATCTGGTGGAAAATTGATAAGTCAACCTGAACAGGTCTATCGTTTTCAAGTACTGAACTATAAAAATGTCAAAGTGTTAAATGGAAGGTAACTGGACATGTTATCTTGTTTTGAAGACGTTTCATCTCAAATCTAAAAGGATTTTCAAGCTACTTTCCAATTATTGACCGAATCTACACCTAATTTAACCATAAAAAAGAAGAATCATAAATAAAACAAAAAACATTACAGATAACCCTGAGCATCCTCTTCATCAGTGTCATTTAATAACAAAGTGTCTTCAGTCAGAAGCTTCATCAGAACCGCTGTAACACTGACTGCTGCAGGAGATCCTTCCTTCCTAATGCCATCAATATCTTTGAAAAATATTTGATATTTTGAGAGAGAGAAACACTTAATCTATCTTAAGGGATTAATAAAGTATTTTTGAATCAAATTAAATTAAATAATTAAGATTACAATGCAAACTGAACATTTAAGACATTAAATATCCAGTTCAGGTTGTAACATTTAAGTGACCTGAGGACCAATCTGCAGAACTATTTCAGATGAAAAGAATGACTCCTGACTAAAAAGTCAGTAAATTCACTGAAAGTTGACATTTTAAAGCTAGTTAAAGATACCATGAGTACATAAATATCGATTCTTGACAATAAGTCAATAAATTCACTGCAGGTTGGTATTTTAATTAAAGACTCTATGATTACATAACTATTGAAGAACTCATCAGTTGAATCACTGCGGCGTCGCCGGTTTATCTCTGTCTTAAACACCAGCAGATGTAAAGGAGGCCGAGGGAGGATAAATCTGGTTTTATCCGACATCAGTTTCAGCTGGAATTCCCCTTTAAGCTCCTCTGAGGCCGTCTGTGTGTTTTGGTGCAGCAGCAGATCAATGCAGGATGAATGGAGGGAGGGGACGACAAGTTCAGAAACACGGCTCACATTTCAAAGAAGCAAAGCAGCAGAAACGTCTGAGCTACATAAAAAAACACGGAGGACGGTCCACTGGAGAGAACATTTGGTTCTGGACTCAGGGTGGCATGACTTTCAGTCTTCAATAGTTTGAATTAAAGATTCCAGGTTCTAATTAGCCTGGTAAGAACCAGCCTGTTGTTCTACGATATTTGGTTCCTACAGAGGGTCTGGATTGATCAGGGCTCAAGTTTTAAACTTTACCCAATCAATAATGTTTCACCAGTCTGATACTATGAAGCTTACCAGAAATTACCTATGCAGTAAACAACAATCCTCCACTGCAAAGAGCGAGGTGCCGGGCTGAACAAGATGGACGTCCATGTTGTATAAGGGCCATTGTAGATAGCAAAAAGGAAAAAAATTCCACCAGAAAAATTTCATGAGAAAACAGAAACTCCTGAGCTCCAAAAGTTGAACATTTGGGTGACCCTCAGAAATTTTCTAGAAAAAAAACTTGGGAATTTGAGTTTTGAAAATCGAAACTTTTTGAGTCCAAAAGTCTAAAATCTTTGACTTCTCAAACTTGGAAATTTCCAAGTTCTTTCTCTAGAACCTGCCTGAGATTAAACGAAGCATTTCTGAGTTTTTTCTAGAAAATCTTCAACTTTTGAAGCTCAGAAATTTCCATGTTTTTTTTCTCAAAAATTAAAGAGGTATACAAATAAAATTATTTATTTATAACTTTATATGTTGGTCTGTCTGATTTGTAAATATTTTTAAATATCAAATGGTTGATGTTTTGATAAGTCAGAGCTTAAGTCGCCTTTTTTCCAAATACTTTTTTACTCTTACTTGAGTTTTGGACGGCTACAACTTTTACTTGAGTATAATTGAGTATAATTTTTGAGATTACTCTACCCATCTGTGCTCCTCAGTGGCTTACAAAGCTGCTTGAGAACCTACCTGTGCACGGCCTCCAGCTCTGGCTTCGGACTGAGGAGGCGAGCAGAACCCAGGTGACCAGCAGGGGGCGATACACCAACATCGCGCCTTCTTTAGCGGCTGGTTAACTCAGCGCAGCTTCATGCAGCGTCATGATGCTGATGAGGGTCAGAGATGAATGAGGATGAGGAGAGGATCTTCTTCAGAGGCCTGAGAGGAGAAACATCAGAGAGAAAAAGTCAGGTTGATGTATAAAAAATAAGGTTTGCAACTAACAATTATCTTAATAATCGGGTTTTCTATTGATTATTCTGTAATCGGATAAAAAAAGTCACAGATTTTTCATTTAACCTTTAAAGCTATATTTACACAATTTTAGAAATACATTAAAATATGCAAAAAACAAGTAATTATTTTCTTAAACAAAATAAACATTTTACTCCCTAAAATACAATAACATATCCTTTAGTAATTTATTTTTTACATTGTGCCTTAATTTCGGCTCTGAATATGTTGGGGTTTTTTTTTTTTTCAGCAAATGACCTTTTTTGAATCTGTGTACTCCATTTAATGATAAATTGATTACTAAATTTGTTAACATAGTTAACAATTATTTCAATAATTGATTCATTGTGATTAAACTGAGTTACGATTTCAGCATTAATAAAAATCTGAATTTATTCTGTATATTTTTTTAAATTTTATATAAAAAAAGTGAAGGTAGTTAAAGTGATACTACATTATTAACCAGGATAAATCAAAGTTGTTGAAGGTTTTCCAACTAAATACTGTCTAATTTGCAGTTTTCAGGAACAAAATGGACCAATCAGAGACTCCTCTGTGTTGTCTCCAGGCAGATTTTGAGGAGGCGATTACTAAATACTGGATAAAGTTTGTAAAATGCCTGAAGATTTAGTTGCATCTTTTTAGATCTTTGGATCAATTCTGCTCAGATGTTCTGGTTTCAGAAGAATTAATTTTCTTTTATTGCCATTAAATAAACTGTGGAGTATTTGATAAAAAAAAAATAGAAGCAGCTGCAAGAAGTTCACTTCCAATAATCTGAGAGAAACTTTCACCTATTAACCTATAAAAATGTCATCAGGGACTTTGTAACCAGAGCCTGAATTCACTCGACATGCAAACAGGAAAAACCACATCTGAAGCTAATAATACATCTGTATTTCATGGAAGCAATAAAAATGATCATTTAAGTGTTTATAGAGGTGATTCTGAATAAATGAAGCACCTGATCTAAACATGCTTCCAGTCTCCCAACAAAACAAATTTAATTATAATAGTAATAAGATAATCAGACGTAATTTAAGAACTACAAAAATTGATTAAATATTACATGATCTAGATGGATGGATGGCTGCTCATTTATTGGGCCCTATTATAAAAAACTTTATTTAGTGTATAATAATCCAGTTAATATCTGATTAGATACTCAAAATATTCCATATTTTTATTGTAAGCGGTAAACTTTTTAATACATCATCAATCTGCAGCAGTGACTCACATTCTCCACACAGAGTCTCCACTTTCCACTAAACATGCAGAAAAACAGAAAACTGGTTGAATTTGTCATCTTATTTGTCGCCCTGTTCAGTTTGCCCACCTGGGCAGAGAGCCATATCATCAATTAGTAACCATGACTGCATGTATAAATGCCTCTGTTGGACGTTAGATGTTCACACATGCAACAAAAACATATTTTTGAGTTGTTGTTTTTTTGTTATATAAATAGTACTGTAACAAAGGTGGTCATAAATGTAAAAAAACTATTTTTCAAAAACGTTATGTATCTTATATCATGTTTTCTTTAAATCCAGATCAGACACAAGATAAAACACATCATATAGTTTTACTCTTTATGGTTGTGTTCAGAATTTTCTGAGCAAATTGTTTTGATTTTATGTTTTTAGGTAGTAACTTAGAAACTTTAAGTTTTATAAAAGTCAAACAAACAGAAGCAAACCTGTAATTTCTTGATAAGACCAAGATAACTCTGGAAATATTTGAAACATAAAACATTTTTTTGCTTGTTTAAAGAGTTCAGAAGAGCCATAAGTTGGTCTAAAACAGGTTTTTATCTCCTTGCTTCTTTAATCAGCAGATTCTGGAGCTTTTTAGTAACATAAAGTCAAACCTGGTTGAAAAATGACCACTGAGGTCCAGTTCTGGTTCTGGTTCTGGTTCTGGTTCTTCTGATGTTTAAGAGTAAATCCTTGTCGTAACCAGTTCAGTTGAAATAATCTGGTATCAAGCCATCAGATTTAAGAGAATCTAAAAACAATCAGAAATAAAAATGACTTATTTTCACTTTGGTCTTTAAAATGTTCCTGATCCATTAAAACACAAAGCAGCTCAGTTCCAACCTTAAATCCTGAAATCAGAACGATGATGATCCATTTTTTAAATTCCTGTGTAGAGTTGAGTTGATCCACCTGTCCAGGTGACGGCTGCTGTCTGCAGCTGATCTTCAGGTGGAGTCCCACTGAGGAGAGAGAGAGGCTTCACCTGCAGCGGGACGAGCTCGCACGACCCACATTTAAATATAAAAGAGAGGGAGGAGCTGGGGGGCTGAACACCTGAACACACCTGGGGAACAAACATGTCAGATCAGTGATCCACCTGCCTGGACACACCTGAGGAGGAAGATTCAGATGATGATGATTGTGATGCATCCAAATGGTTTGAAGCAGATTGATCTGAGGATGAAAACAGGTTCAAGTTTAATTATTTTAAATTAAACGGAAGAAAGTTTGATTCTTTCAGCATTTCTGCATTCAAACACAAAAGCAACATGTTCAGTGACTGACGTAAAAAAATAAAAAGTTTTCCTTAGTGAAATCATTGGACAGCTTTCAGAATATCATCTGCATATCTGATCATCATTATAAGGAAGAGGATTAGGGTCGCTGAAAAGAAAAAATTATAATTTTCTTTCTTCAGATTTCAGATTTTTTCCCCTTAGAATTCATACATTCATTTTTCCTCAGTAATCTGATTTACCCCTCAGAATTCTGACTTTTTTCTCAGAATTCAGTTTTTTCTCAGAATTTTCAGACTTTTTTGCCTCAGATTTCTGATTTTTTCCTTAGAATTCTTAAATTTGTTTTCTCAGAATTCTGACTTTTTTCCTCAGATTTTTGAGAAAAAAATTAGAAGTCAAAATTCTGAAAAAAGTAAGAATTTTGTGACCAAAGTCAGAAGATCAAAATATGAATTATTAGATGAAAGTCAGAATTCTTTTTTCAGTGGCCCTAATCCTATTCTGTATTCGTCATTAACTGAATAACAGTGATTCCAGTAGGCATCTTTGTGGCACTCCTGAAGACAGACGCATCCACCCAGTCCACTGTAAAACACCAAAGAAGAAAACTGAACTAAAAAGATGGTTTGAAGTACTGCCCTCTGCTGGCTGCCGGACAGACTGCAGGTTTCAGAGTTTTTTTTACATCATTTTGCAAACATAAGCTCTGATACCTGTTCATACATGTTGGTCGGAGGCCCTCAGGCCTTGTTTTCAGCTCCAGTGAGAGCTGTAACACATCCACACCTTCTGGGATGATAAATGAACCTCCGACATGAAGCAGCAGCGGCGGCGGCAGCATCGGGAACTCTGTGGAAAACAGCAAAGCTGCAGCTGATCTGAGGTCCGTCCATCAGAGAAATTCCCCATGTAGCTCCGCCCCTCACCTGTCTCACACTCCTACAGGTGTGTGATGTCTTCCAGTGTGAGAGTGTGTGTTCTCAGATGTGGAGCTGTGAAGTTCCAACTGGGTAACAGGCCGGAGCAGCTGGGATCTGAGAGCTTTCAATCCCAGTAATCCCAGTTTAAACATGGAGGTGGATCCAGTCCGGCAGGCAGAGACACGACTGGACTCAGAGACTTTCGGAGTCACCGCACCGCACTGTGGTCATGTGTACCATTATTAGTAATCGATTATTCTGACGATTAATCGGGTAAACAGCGTCACATTCTGTATTGTTCATTTAACCACATAAACTTTTTTATACAATAGAAATACATTAAAAATGCTAATAAACTAATTAAATACATTTAAATAAGAAAAAAACATTTAATTGGCTAAAATGTAACTCTGATCGTGTTATTATTTTTAGTAAATGACCTGTTTTTGAGTCTGGAAATAACAATTGATTACAAAGTGGGTTGATGACTATTTGTCATCACGATTAATTGGATACATTTTTTCAGTCCTAATAAAAATTTTATTTATTTTTTTTATTGACAAATGGAGATAATTAATGTGATAGTTCTTAATAATATACCAGGATAAATCAAACTTCTTGAAGACTTTTCCCTCTGAATGTCGTCTGCTTTGCAGTTTTCAGGAACAGAATTGACGAATCAGAAATTCCTGTGTGTTGTCTCTAGGCAGATTGTGAGTAACCTTTACTCATCTACAGTTTGATCATATTTTAGGAAAGCTTTGAGGATCTGAACTGCAAATAAAACACTAAAAAAACTGGAGCAATAAACATAATTCCGATTTAAATTTTCTACACCTGTCATGTGACCACAGATCAATAAACCAAAGATCCTGAAACAGAAACGCTGCTTTATTAAGTTTAGGTCAACATGCTTTAAAATCAGTTTGACACCAGAAACAGAAACAAAAAGAAGCTCTTAGTTTCTCAACAAAGAAATCAGAGAAACAAAGAGCTCAAAATTCTGTTTTCAACCAACTATTTTTGAAAGGAAACTCAGAGAAACTCCTTCAGTTCAGCTGTAAAAAAAACAAAACAACAAACTGAAGTCCACCACGGTGACCACCAGGAGGAGATAAAGTGCAAACAGTCCACTGAGAAACTTCAATCTGAGCCAACAGCAGGGGAGGAGGGGTGACAAACAGGAAGTGAGGTCATGACAGGCTGCTGCTGGGTCTCCTGGTGATGTCACTGTATCCAATCAGCCTCTGATCCATCAGTTCATTGAGATATCAAACTGCAGCTCTGCGTGTATGTGTGCGTCAGAGGTTTCCATGGTAACAGTGTTGATGCTCCACAGTCTGTATCCGAGCTACGCGCCACCACACACACGCAGGGCGGCGTGATGACATCATCTTTACAGGCCCAGCGACTTGCGAACGATCTTCTGAGCCAGTTTGTAGAACTGCTCTCTGTCCTCGCGCCACATCTTAGACGCATCGACGTTGGCGCCGCTCTCATCGTTCGGCTCTGAGGAGAAGAAGAAAGAATCATTAAAACTATATGATGACTCATGGCAGACGAGTGATGTGGACCGAGAATTTTATTACAATATTTTAGTGGTTTTATTGTGATAAAGACAAAGATTATGATTAAAAAACTATTTATTACTTATTTTCCAGGTAACTGTGGCTTTGACCGCATGAAATCACAGCATCAAAACACACATTGTTCTTGAAAAACAGGATTCTTCTGGACGCCACTTACTTAAAAATCACGACTTATATCACTAACCTGCACACACTTAGTAATATTTTCTATTGTACTGATATTACGCTGTAAGAAATAGTGGAGAAAATATCAAAATGAATATTTCTGAACATACTGTGAGTTTTATTTACCATCAAGCTTCTTTAAAACAGAAAGATAAGCATTCTGATGTAACTTGCTCTTATTTCATTAGCTTATTTAATTGAGTCAAATGTTTTGTATTTATTGTTCCTATTGCTTTTTTGTTTATTTATTTTGGATATTTGGAATTAATTGTTCATTAAAGCTTAAAGTTTATCTTTGAGAATGCACTGTTATTCCATTACTACTATATAACTTAAAAATGATCTTAAAACAACAATATTGTCGCAGTAACTTCTGGTATAATCTGTCATCCTGTGACAGATGAGAAGTTTGGTGGTTTTCAGTTTTTATTGGTGTTTTCAATGAGTCTATAGAAACAATGTGACAGGTGTGTATCAACCTGCTGGAGGTGTGAACGAAACCTGTCAGAGATTTTTCATAAATTATTAATGTGTGTGTTACTCATGTAACAGGTGTGTAATAAACACACGCCAGCGCGGTTCGGTTGATCATGTGACAGGTGTGTAATAAACACACGCCAGCGCGGTTCGGGTGATCATGTGACAGGTGAGCTGCTCTACCTGCCAGCATGCTGACCACTGACAGCAGGATCTTCTCCACACTCTGGACCGGACTCCACCGCTCTGCGCTGCTCTCATATCCCATCGGGTCGTCGCCCGGAGCGTGAAGGATGGAGATACACACCCGGCCGTCTGGGTAGACTGAGGAGCAGAACAATGAAATTAGTAATCAATTATTCCATCGATTAGTCTATTAATCAAATAAAAATATTGGCACATTCTGCAGATTTTTCATTTAATCTCAAGATTTTGACATGCAATATTAGATTAAAAGAATACATTAAAAGATGCAAAAAAACAATTCACTTTCTTTTTTAAACCACAAATTAAACATTTTACTGATTAAATGCAGTAATACAGCGTTACTTTAGTAAATCTGAACTGGATGAAGGTAAAACTGACACTTGAGGAATTTTGGGTAAAGTATATTTACAGAAAAATAAGGTTTTTATCTAAAATACAAAATGTACATACTTTGTACAATTTTAGCTTAATTTCTGCTCTGAATGTTATTTTTGGCCTTTTTTGACTTTGTACACTTCAGTTATTAAAGTAACTGATTAATTATGATTAACTCTATTAATCATTTCAGCCCTCGCTGAAATGTGAAAAGTCAAGAGATTATTTTGGTTTGGTCTCCTTCCTGGAGTCTCTGAGGATGTTATTCTGGTTCACAGCTCTTTTCAGCCATCTTCACCCTTAGTGGTTCAGATAAGGCAGAAATCAGAGGGAAGCTACATTATTTGATGGTTTCTAGGTTCTGAATAGATGAAATGTTCTGCTTTGATTGGTCTTCACCTGTCTGTTTACTTGTATGCAGGCCTGTCACAATAAGCAATAAATCAATTAATTATGTGATAAATTAAAACAAGGTCAATCATTTCCATTTGAATGATTTATCAATTTTCTCTTTTTACCAAAAACAGGTGCTTTGGTTTCAACTTGCCCTTTTTTAAAGAACAATTTTGTTTACAGAGACTTTATAATTAACTTTATTTGTTGTTTCTGTTGCTTTGTTTATTTATTTAGGACATTCAAAATGTCTTCCAGGTCCAGTATTAAATGTTCATTAGAATTTAAAGTCTATTGAGAATGCGCGCTTATATTATTATGCCATTACCATTACATTACTTAAAAATGATCTCATTGTTTATTGCAATAACTTCTGGGACAATTTATCATCCAGTGACATTTGTTATTATGGCTAGCCTGCCTGTGTGGAACTGATCCCTGCTCAGATGTTTCTGTCTGATCAAACAGAAACAGAAAGTTTCTGCTACCAACATTCAGACATTTTCCATCATATCTAACAAACAAACTGCAGGTTCTGATTGGTCCAGCTTTCTTCTTCATGTGTTTATGTTGTTGCTGCAGGACCAGAAGATACAGTTGCAGCAGGAAGTTCAGCTCAGGGCCATGATGATGATGATGATGATGGTGGTGGGGAACATGATGACGGGTCAGAACCGAGCGCTCTGTCCTCTAATCAGAACTCTCCTGCACCATGACATCATGGCTCCTGCCCACTAATCTCGGCGTTAATGACAGCAGGCTAACGAGGCGTGTTGTGACGGTTCCAATAACAGGGTCCAGACACAGGCTGGTTTCATCCACGACTCGGCGTTCTGAGCATCTAAACCCGCCGTCGGGGGCGGAGCCTGTGGCAGACTTACTGTTGGGGTGAAACATGTCGCAGGTGAACCTCATCTTCGGAGGGCTGAGAGGATAATCTGAGGGGAAGCTGAGGACGGCGGGGAAGACTCCGCCTTCGAAACACGTGTCCTCTGGACCCCTGAGACACAAACAGAGAAAATCACTGAGAATGTCGAGACGCTGCAGCAGGAAACAGAAACTTTTAGTTAAATGAAGCCAGTTTCAGTTTCTGATCATGACATGCTGAGTCATAATCAGGACTGAAGTTTGAATATCTGATCTCAGATCTGCCTGGCCTCCTTCCCTGAAGTTATTTCTGACTCTTTAAAGCATCAACTGATCTCTGACCAGATATCCTCCATTTATCAGGACAGCAGTTGGGTAACAGGTCTCCACACTGCAAAAACACTAAATATTACCAAGGGTTTTGGTCTAGTTTCTAAACAAATATCATAGCACACCTGAAATATTACAAAACTAACTTATAGGTAACTTTTCTCAAAAAATAAGATGCTTGTTTAGAGTCAATAAGTCTATAATATTGATGAAAAAGTTCTAGTCCCAATGGCAAATTATTTCACTTATAACTCAGACTCAGATATTTATTTATGTCCCATTGGGCTTAAATAAAGTCACAATAAAACAACAACAAACCAACATTTAATATAAAACTACGAGGTGTTGCCCTAAATTTAACTGTTTCAACTAATGGAGGTTAAAAACACAAAACTTCTCAATCAAAGAAAAAATAAATACAAATAAAAATAAAAATATAGATGCCGGTAAAACTGAAAAGGTGAACAAAATATAAACTAATAAATACATATTACTTATAATTTGAAATTCCTCACTTTAAGAGACAACACATTATTAAAACTCAGTGGTTAAAAACACAAACCGTTTTCATCAACTGTAAGACTACAGGACTAACAAGTAAGTTTCTCTTGCTTCAAGTATAATAAGATATCTGCACTAAAAACTAGATCAAAAATACTTTGTAGGATTTTGTGTTTTACAGTGCAGAGTGCTTCACCTCCTCTATGAGCTGAGGAGCAGAAAAAGGAAGACAGAACAACGAGGTACAGAGGACTGAGGTATAATGACAGGTGTGCTGCCTCAGTGATGTCACTCTGCAGACTGAAAGGTGGACTTGGACTTTAAATGAGCAGCGAGGTAAATTGAAGGGCAGACTGAAGCTGCTGTCATGCCAGCATGGAGCAGTAACGTCTAATGATGGTGCTTTCAATGACGTCACGGATTCTGCAGTGTCTCCTGTCAGAGATGCATCAGGCTGCAGAGGATTTATTTTAACTAAGGGTCATCACAAAAACACAAAATCTTACCAGGTATCTTGTATGAATTTTTATTGCAAATATCTTAGTACACTGGAAATAAGATAAAACTAACTGACAAGTAAATTTTCAGCAAGATATTGGAGCTTGTTTTAAGTCAATAATGATTGAATATTGATAAAAAGATACTATTGGTAGATTACTTCAATTATAAAAAGACATTTTTTCCATGTTATAAGTGAAATAATTGGCCAGTGGAACTATTACATTTTCATGAATATTAAGGAATTATTTTTGTATATTAAGTTTGTTTTATTTCCAGTGTACTAAAATATTTGCACTAAAAATTAGACAAATATTTGGTAAGATTTGATGTTTTTGTAGTGAGGTACAGATGAAAATGTGATGAAAATTTCTGATTTAGAGAACTAGTCTGGTCTTAAATGGGACAGTTCAGTTTTTTTCCAGTTGAGTTCTACTGAGAGTAAATATTTACCTCCATTCGATACTCTGACTTTGATTAGGTCATCCTAACACATGACGTTTGATCCAAACCTGGGGTCTACAACCTTTACAACCTAAAGAGTCATTTTTACTCTTAGGCCAGCCAAATAAAACTTGTTCATCGCCGCAAATGTCGCATCACTTTTCGAAAAAGGACACATTATAATTTACATAGGAGATATGTTGACATTTTTAAAGAACTGCCATTTTATTTCTGTTTTTAGAATTTAAAACAGAAAAATTAGCAAGAAAGAATGGATCTCTTTCTTCTGTGGGATGGAAAATGATGTAAGAAATGAAAAACACAGATTACCACCTAATGGCAAGAAAATCCCTTTGTTTCACAATCAAGCACCGCTTTGTGTTGATTAATCCGATAAAGTCCAAATGTAAACAGTCTGCCTCAACTTTGAGCTGCTGTCTGAATCAGCAGTGACACCTGCTGGTCAGAGTGACACATTGCACCTGGAAACTCAAGAGGCTGACAGGTTGGATAAAATCGGTTTGGTGTCTATGAGCATCGAGTATCTCAGGTTAAATGATTCTCATTGAGAATCAAATGAACAGAAATGAAAAAGGACAGTTGGTTTCCATGGAGACGACCTGTCATATATGAGTAAAAAGGCTCCAGCCTGTACTCACATGATGAGTGCCTCCCATTCGAAGAAGTTCTCCTCGTTGGCTGGACCTGCAGAGCACACAGAGGGAGAAAATGATCATTGTCTCATCCTGATGTTCTGATGCAACACTAACAGTACCTGTTTGGTTCTGGGTCAAAGGTCAGATCAGGAGGACTTAAACTGAGCTTTTAACAGCTCAGGTGTTCAGATGTAAAGATGGAGTCTTACCTGCGACAATGCCTTCAGGTGGGTTCAGGGTCAGCTCTGAAAAACAAATATTACTGATGAATCCAAGAATTTCACAAAGAAAAACCAGACAACTGGTACCTGTTTGGAAAAACTGTTGCTTTTCTAAATAAAAATCATCATTATTTTAAGCTAAGTTTGTGTGAATGTCTTATTTTTCTGAAACATGTTAAAACACAGCATGTACACACACAATAAACTAATAAAAAGAACATAATCCCAACCTTCTTGGGATGTTTTTTGGTGACCACATTGATCTTGGGCAGCAGATGGAAACCATCTTGCTCCAATCAGAACTAGTCAACACTAGTAATGTGATTAAAATACTTTTTTAAAAATTTGAATGTTTTCACTCAAGATAAGTAAATAAATGTGCAAATAAGTGTAAGATTAATCTTATTTTACAGCATCATTACCAAAGGTGGCAACTTTGGCTCTTTTATTCTATATAACAGGGTTTTTATCCATCCTTTAATACTATATTCAAAACAGTTTGCATTGTGATTAATACACTTTCTTACTTTATTATCGGAACTCCATTTTGGCCTAAACCTCAATAAAATCCTAAACATTTTTAGTAAAAACGCCATTTTGTCAAATTTATTAAGAAAGAAAATTTTAATAAACAAAAAACGGATGTTAATAACCCAGACTGTCACCAGCTGTCAGTCAGACTTTAACAGTTCTTGTATTAATCCTTCAAGCTGAGTCCATCAGATCCAAGCTTGATTCTGAAACTCAAACATGCAGATCATCGGAGAGTTAACAGCTTCTTTTTTTAGTTACTGGCTAGATTTATAGTTTCTAATGTTTGTAGCACTTCTAATCTTATCTCACAGTTTGAGTCTCAGTTACATAAACAGGCAGGGAAGAAGGTTCTGGATGAAGCAGAACAGTCGCACCGACAGATTAAAATAAAATTGCTAAATGTGTCATTCTGGAGACATTTAAGTTAAAAAACATGATGCCGAATCAATCAAAATTCTCAGTTCCAAACGAATTTTTATAGATTTTTCATCTTACTGTGTTGATTTTAAACCCTGGAGCAAAAAAGCTGTTAAACCTGTGGAATCTGTATCGGAGTTTGGTTCAGCAGAACTTCCCCCTAGCTTTTCCTCATCAGCAGGCGCTTCGGTTACTCACGTTTGTATTCAGCCATGAGCCTCTTTAACGCGGTGCCGGCCATCTCGTTTACCGGACACAAAGCGTAAACAAAAACAACTAAACAAAAACAAACAAACAGCTCCGAGCACACACCGCTAACACCAGGCTGAGGACTTTTCCGCTCGCTGGACGAGCAGACAGCGCCCTCTGCTGGTGCGGAACCACCACGGAATTCAGCGTAAAAAGTGGATTACCGCCACCTACAGGCCCGGAGGATCAACAAGAAATTAACAAAGAGGCCAGTTCTAAGTTTCTCAAACTTGTGTAAAGTTTAGAGTTCCTCAAACTTAATACAAGTTTCTTAAATTACGGGTCATGCTCTCTTTTATGGCCTTGTATGGGCTTGGTAACAGAAATTCCTAGATAGAAATAGAGATTTCATATTACTTTTTCAAATTAGCTCAAGATTTGATTTCTATCAGACAATTAAAAATTAAAATTAAAATTAAAGGTGCGTCAGTAACAGTAATTTTATTTTGTTTCAATTTGTTTTTACATAGATTTTTTTTTCTACAAACCAGGAAGGCTCAAGATGAAGAAATAAGGCCTCATAGCAAAACTATTATGGAGATTGAATTCTGTTTTCTTTTATCCTTAAATATCAAAAGAAAATACTTTAACTCAATCAGTTTTCCTGCTGCCCAGCAGCCGCCTGATGTATCCGGTGATGGGTCTCATAATCAGGGCGTACACTACCGGGTTGAACACGGACTGAGCCAGAATGACCAGCACCAAAGTGAGCATGAAAGCTGCAGGCTGGTTTCTCTTCTCGATTGCTCTAGATTGCTCCTGCTTTTTACATTTTTACATTTATGGCTCTTTTTTTTAAAAAAAAATAGGGAAAACGTTCTATTATGTTTCTCAAAATGGTCTATCCACTCTTCTTTGTCCCCTCTATCAGAAATCCATCAAATTTTATATTTCTTCTATTGTTTATTGGCTGACAAATCAATTTAAGGGTACACATATACAAAGAAAAAACTTTGACTAGACCTCTTTCTTAAAACTAAGTAATAAACCATAAGGTGATATTTGCCACAACAATTGTTCAGGAATGTTTTTTGCTGAAAGAAATAAGGCAGTGGGGATTCAACCATTTAAATTAAATCCTTAAAATCAAAATGTCTTATAGATTTTTTTATTTATTATTGCAGTTTAGCTCAGTTTTCTTACTTCTCATGTGACAATGTCTCTGATCAACACTAAGTTGTTAATCATGATTACTGCTGTACATTTAATATTTAAAATGGGTTATCTTAGTTCTGAGTTTATTTAACTAATGATCATACTAATCATAATCCTGTGACAATGTTTCTGATCATCAGGAAGTTATGTTAAAGAGGTTATTCTTAGTTCTGACTTTATTTTGACTAACAAATGAAAACCTATAGAGAACAAAATCTACAAATATGTAAAATTTCAAGCAAGATAAATGCAGAAATATTTCACAAGGCAGCAGTTTACATATGTCTTTAAAATCAAGGATAAACAGAATTCGATCAAAAATATTAAAAACACATCAGTAAAGCAGATTGGGGTGATTTATTTCAGCAATGACTTTTTATCCTTAAATATCCAGATCCAGAAACAATCTGTTAACATTTTACATTTCCCAGGAACCCTGACTGGTTTAAATCATTCGGTTTTCCTGCTGCCCAGCAGCCGCCTGATGTATCCGGTGATGGCGCTCATATTCAGGCCGTACACTACCGGGTTTAACACGGTCTGAGCCAGAACGATCAGAACCGAAGTGAGCACAGAGGATGCAGTCTGGTCTCCGGCCTGCAGGCGGCGCTGCAGAAGCTCCACCGCAGTGCAAGCGCTGTAGTTTAGGAAGACCAGCAGGTGCGGCAGACAGGTGCGCAACGCTTTGCTGCTGGAGCCGCGTGTGCGACACAGGGAGACATAAAGAATGCTGCTGTAGGAGAAAAGTACAAAGGCAGCGGGCAGAATGATGGTGGCAACAGAGATGAACAGGGCGAAAACTTCGCTCACCTGCGTTGCGTTTCTGCTGCAGCTGAGTCTGTTTAAACTGTAAACATCACAGTAGAGCCGGTTGATATGAGAGCGGCAGAGCGGCTGGCGCGCGGCAAGAAGCACTGCGCTCCCAATCATAGCGGCAGGCAGCAGCCAGCAAAACAGGAGCAGAACGGCAACCGCGCGCGGCGACACCAGCGCAGCGTAGCGCA